TTATCACAATCTCCTGTAAAATTATCACAATCTCATAATATCCTAACTATAAATTTATAAGAATTGATCCAATATGTGAATATTAAATCTTTAAAAAAGATATTATTCAATATACATCATATTTTGAGTTTATAATTAAAAAATATATCAAAAAACATGTTACATAAGCTATAAATATCTAAGGCCATGAGAGGAATCCTATCATTTTAAAACATGTTCACATTTTTATGGAGCTTTACCAATTAGACATATTCGAAAGGAAACATCCCTGAATTAGCCTTATCGAAGCTGGTCCTAGAGGGTTTTCTGAACCCTCTAGCCTTGTTATCAGTTTCGTAGACATCAAACCCTCTCAGGGGAGAGAATAAATAAAGATCGTTGTCAACTGGATAGCGGGAGTTACTGCCAAGTGAAAGTTAACTTCCCAGGAGGACTCACTGATAAAAATGGCCCACAACAGCGACACAATTATATGGGGCGACGTTTAAATCAGTAACGTGGCAGACACCATCTCTGCAGTGGCAACTTGGAACTTGCAACAGATGATTAACTTGGATGTGACAGGATTAGATACAAGTACAACGATGAAACACACGCCCTGCTAGGTGCAAGTCATGAAACAGCCATGCCAAGGGTGGAAGATTGGTTTGCAAATGAGTTTGTTGAACTCTTTGCCTAGGGCAGAGGATCGATAAGTGACGTGTAGATTCCTAAGAAAAACATCCACACACACCAAGGAATCCCTCTGATCATTGGAGCGCTGTAATTGACCGAGCCAGCATGATAATTTTTCACATTGCCTCAGTCTAGCTCATCAATATTTTTTATGTATAATGGCTATAGTAAAATTTTCTACTTCAACCACTCATTCGCACCAGCAATGAGCAAAAACCTTTGATAAACCTAAGAAACCCAATACTAAAAAGCTTTGCAACTTTTAATCCTCAGTCTCTGGGCAACGGGGACTTAAGATTTCAACTTCAACAACTCTATTCCCACCAAAAAAGGACAATTTTTACAAAACCAATAAAACTAATGGTATAAAAATTGCAACTTCCACTCGACTTCCACCCCTCAATCTCCATTTATCGCATACAAAGGGTGAAACACGAGTCCATGAAAAATGCAAAATAAAAATGTATGAATTAACAACTATTAACATTAAAATTGCAAGATAGCAAGCTAGTATGAAACAAATGTTCTAGGTATACTGGTGCAAAGACAAATAGGCCCGAATTACAGAAGCTTGTTTAGCTACATGTTAGCACGAAATAAGGAAATCGATACCAATTGACCATCCCAGTGATGAAAGCATCTTGAGGAATTCAGTGACTAAGCAATTCCAGGACTATGATTTGTGCACCTAACCTTTGGTCATCAAGTGACAAAAAAGCACCCATAACCATGTCTATCATCTCTAAAACAAGCATAGTCAAGCATTTTCAAGAACACATCATAGCTAAAACAAGCATAGTCAACCACTTTCAAGAAACACAGCATAATAAGCATCATCAAACCATCAATCCAAGCAACTAAACAAATGAAAGGATCAAAAAGAGCCAAAGGACGAAGCCATGCGATAAGCAAAATCCCAATTTACCAACAGAAAAAACATAAAAATTATGAAAGGATCCAAAAGTATCACTAAACACGTTTAATTTAAGGACAAGTCAAAATCTTGGAAAGGAACGTAACCTAGGCTGTAAGAACAACAGCTCCACCAGCCTCCTTAATCTTCTTCTCAGCAATCTTTGACACAAGCTTGGCCTTGACAACAATGGGTTGCTTCTCAGGCAAAACCCCCTTACCAAGAACCTTGAAGTAACCAAACTGAGTGACATCAATCATGGGCACAGTATCCTTGGTTGCCTTGTCTTTGACATCTTGTGGGACCATGGACCAGAGCTTGTCGATGTTGACAATGGGACAGTGGAATTTGTTGCGGAGCTTGTGGAAGTAGCGCATACCGACCTTACCGAAGTAACCAGGATGGTATTTGTCGAAGAGGATCCTGTGGTGGTGCATGCCTCCTGCATTTCCACGACCTCCAGGGTGCTTCCTGTGCTTTCCGATACGACCATGACCAGCGCTCACGTGACCTCTCTTCTTCCGGTTCTTCTTGAAGCGGGTTGTCATTTTTGGCTTTGGAAGAGAGGGATCGCTTCTTTAGGGTTATGAACGGCTGCAGTGGGTGAGTTACCACGGGGTCATTTAGGGTTTGGGATGGCTCTGTATATATTGGTGATTGGATTTTGTGGTTGACGGTTTTGTCCTCTAGGTTATCGGGTAGTTCTTTGTTCAATGGGCTTTGAGATACTGGACCTGATTAAAGAGAGAGCTTCTTCTTCTTTTTCTTCTTCTTCTTTTTCTTCTTCTTCTTTTTCTTCTTCTTCTTTTTCTTCTTCTTCTTTTTCTTCTTCTTCTTTTTTTTCTTTCTTTTTTTAGAACGAGATATTTATATTTCTGCCTGAGATTTTTTATGAAATTATGTTGTTATCCGATCTATATATTTTCATTCTCATTATAAATATTTAAAATAAATAAATAAATATTTTTTTAGAAAAAAATAAAATACAACAAAGTATTTTTTTAATGATTTTTCAAGGTGTCAAATCCAGATCAAAATCATTAACAAATAAACTAAGCACTGGATCTGCACTTGATTTTCTTTCTTGGTCCCTCAAGTTTTTTTTATCTTCAAAATATAGATTCTTTCAATTTGTCCTTAAAAGTTCTTTTGTTTTCTTTCTTAGGCTCTCTCTCTCTCTCTCTCTCTGGCTTTCGTTTTTTAGCTTGCATTAGGTGTCAAAAATTGTTTCAAGATTTAATTACAAAATGATTTTGCTAAAGATAAAATTAAAAAAAAAAATTAAATTTGGTACTGCCAAGAATTGCTAGCCTTTTTCCGTGTTTATTGTTCAAAAACCTTTGAATGGCCGGCCAGCAAGGTAATTTAAAATAATATTTAATATATGATAATTACAATGATATTTTTAAGCAACTTCTAAATTTTTTAAAATAAAAAATTAATATATAATGATAAAGACACCTTTTTGATGGAGTAATATTTTTTTTGTCTACAAAGTTACCAAAGCAATGATATTATTTCGGATAAAATAAAAGGTATTAAAATATCTATAAGAAAAAAGTATATGTATTTTTTATTCTAGAACAAAATTATAATTTTATTTTGTCAAAAATATTGAAATGATAAATCTAACCATGCATAACATGTTAAAAATAGTATTTTTTTTCAATGTAGAATAAATAATTTTTTGAAATAATATTTTAAACTTAATTATTTATACTATGTATAATCTATATTCACATAAATTATTTTTTATTTTTTTATATAAAATATTAAAACATTAAATATTTATAAAAAAATTCAAGTGACCCGAGACCCTAATCAGGCATGTTTCATTCAATATCCAGCCTTGTAATTTGCCCGGAGTAAACCAATCAGCTCGCTGGATCAACCCTAAACTCTGGTGACACCGCAAAAACCTAATAGAGATTTTTTTTTTAAATGTGTTTTTTTTTTCTATCTAGAGACTTCTTTTTCAGAGTAAACCAATCAGCTTGCTGGATCAACCCTAAACTCGGGTGACACCGCAAAAACCTAATAGAGATCCCTTTTTTTTAAATGTGTTTTTTTTTCTATCTAGAGACTTCTTTTTTATATATATTTTAGTTGATTTTTAACTCATTTTAAAATTCATTATATAAATATTATAAGAATATTTTTATTTTTTTAATATAAAATTTGAAACCCTTTAATATATCTATATATTTATTCTATGTTTACAAAAAAAAATTATATTTTTTCAATATGAAATAATAAAGTCTTTTATTTTAAATATTTCAACTTAGAAAAATAAAATAATATCTTTCAAATATGAGATAAAAAACCTTTTTAAAAGCATATGTTAAACTTAAATATTTACAACATGTATAGCTATTGAATCTAACTCATAACCATACCCCAGGCTATTGAGTCTAGTTTTCAGCCAAATCTAAATATATTTAATTTAATTTTTTTTATTTTTTTCTTACATCCCAGGCTATTGGGTCTAGTTTTCAGCCAAATCTACATATATTTAATTTTATTTTTTTTATTTTTTTATTTTTTTCTTTTATTTAGTATAATTTTTTTCATATGATAAAGAGAAAATTTCTTTAGTGTAATTTTTTTCATATGATAAAGAGAAAATAAATTGATGAACACTGCCCAGCAAGACCCAATAGAATTGGGTTGCCACCAAACCCAAAACATTTAATATATTACCTATACTCTTTATATTTTTTTAATATTTTAAAAAATAATTGTTATTAATTCATTACAAAGAAAAAACCAATATGTTAATATGATTTTCAAACTTAGAGAAAATTTGAAAAAATCAAAAACCTTTCTTGATCAAGAAATATTACATTTAAACATAAAACTTTAATTTTTTTACTCCAATTTCATGTAAAAATAAATAAAGTAATATTCTATTTATGAACGATACCCAAATATTTCATATATCATTATCCTTTTTATCAATGCGATTTATTCCTTAACCAATGAAAAGAAAAGAAAAGAAAAGAAAAAATAAACTAGTATAAAATGACTATTCACTTCCCTTGGCTTCAAGCTAAACGTAAAAATTTGAGAGTTCATGGTAATAGAAAACTAAAATTTTAAATTCTTCCTGGTTAAAATGGATTACTTAAGCTGGTGCTTGAATCCATATTATATATGCTGTGATGAGGAAAATTCGAAGCAATACGCAAATGGGGAGAGAAGTAGAGGTTGCAAAAGTTTTCCTTTCCCAAAATAAAACAATCTAAAACTAGGATTAAAATAAATCAGTTTATTGCGTGGCCATAGTTTTAACAACTGCAAAGCACATCATCAGTTCGACTTCCAAGCAAACAAGCAGGATTATTAGTGTCGAGTACGGTTGTGCAATGGTGGTGACGCAAGGTTACATTAAAGCTAAATTGCAAATTGAAACGGGCACTTGAGAAGATCTTGTTTGATTTCGCCAAGCAAAAATTGTATATCAATTATTATCACCAAAAATATTACATGCAAATGGGAGGATCCTATGAAAAAGGTCGAAAGTCCTCAGTTGAAAGGTAATTTAGTACCTTACATTGTAACTGTGCAGTAACTCAACCACCGCAGATACAACTCCCTTTCCCTCCACGTTAATGTCCAGGCATGGTTCCTCAATTTTCTTACTCAGAAGCTTGTCTAGTTCTCCCCTCAGTTTCTGCAGACACACCAAACAATATTGTGTTTACTTTAATATAAATTATAAAAAGGAAACATAAACTCAAGGGAAACCTGTTGAGAAACGTTACCTGTATCAAATCCAATACACTCTTCGATGCAGAGAAATGGAGGTAACCTCTTAGCATCTCAATACCCTCTCCATTTTTGCTGGCAACAAGATTACCACCAAAAAGAAGCAAAGCATAATCTGAAATATTTGTTGAGTCTCGGACATAAATGCTAGTTGTTTTCACCCTTTCACTATAAACCATGTAAGGCAGAGGGAAGAGATGGACCCCAGCATTTACAGATGCAGGATGGATGTCGACCTTCCCAACTTCCTTAGTGAAGAATGCTGTTCGCTTTCCTCTTCTTTTACATTGCACAACATTTGGGTAAAGACCAGCACAAAGGATTGCTGATACCATCTCCATGTCGTGGCTATATTGATTATAAGCCTGCAAAAATCATACACACACATTTGACTTTACGAACCTGATGGTCTCTTGACATTGGATTGCGTAGCAAAAGAAAGAAGTGGAAAGTGGGGATTATGCACAAATGACAGAATAAATCAATGGTCACATCATGGGCTCAGAAATGGAAGTCTTTGTCTGGAACATGAATAATTGAAAATATAGTAGCTTACACTAACACCCCTGGATTTGTCTACGAAGCCAATGTCTGATAGCAAGTTCAGAAACTGGTCTCTCATATCCTCCATCATCCGCAAAGTAACAGGGGACAAGAAATACTCCCAACAAAATGCTCTTTCATTTCGGTTGCATTTTGCTTCCTTGTATCCTTCAAAAGCTTTAGCAAGTGCTATGTGGTCGCTGCATTAAAGACATTGTCACTTTCTTTTTAACAGCATAAACATAGCCCATCATATCACAAAACATGAAATGCTATCAGAAAGAAGTATGATGGCTATGTTTAATAACCTGCAAGAGTCACCAGCAAAGGATCTTTTTGCAGCATCAGCTTCCCTTTTCCTGTCTATTGGCAGCACAAATGGGTCACGATGTGCAAGAGCAGCAGCAATTGTTAAAGCAGGGCTGAGGCATTGAAAGACACACCCCATCAAAAGCAACTTCCCAATATTTGGGTCCACAGGGAGAGTACAAAGATGACGACCTGTCAGGCGTGATAAATTAGACTTGGCAGATATCCCAAAGGCATGCATATAAGATAGAGACACAAAATGGTCAAATTGCACATACCGAGTGGAGTAAGCTCCTCCTTATCATCTAAAGCCCCAATGGTTTTAAGTAGTTCAATTGCATTTTCCACAGCAAGAGGATCTGGTGGCTGTAAAGCCTTTGACAAAAACGATCCCACAGCTCCAAGCTGCAAACTTTTTATATGCAGACACAGTTCTTGCAAAGGTGTTCTCAGTATTTCTGGTAATTGATATTGAAGCATTGAATCATGTATGATTTTTGGATACAATCTATAACAAACTCCTGGTTGCAATCGGCCAGCACGCCCCCGTCTCTAAAATTGTTTCAGAACACCAAGAAAACAAGAGTGATTTTAATTTGTCATGGTGTGACAGAGGAGTTTAGTTTTATGTTTTAAAAGGTGAGAATATTAATATACACCACTCTTTCGAGATTCCAAGTGAATACCTGATGTGCTGAAGCCTTTGAAACCCACGATGGTAACAAACAAGCCAGCTTGTTCAGTGCATCATAACTGGTTTCCTTTGCCTTTCCACAGTCTACAACATACACCACATCATCTATGGTAATACTGCTCTCTGCAATATTTGTTGCCAGAACAATTTTTCTGCAAAATGTAGAAGGGAAGGTTCAAAATTCAGGGGAGGAAAGATCATTTAAAAGTAAAAAATGCTTGCAAGTAATTACAAATAGTTCAGCTAATGCTCTCTAATGACATGGACCAGGCAAACAAACAGATATTCTAAAGATTAGTGCAACCATTAACATAAAGATTAGTACCGCTTGTTAGGGGGAGGACGGTCAAAAATTTCACGTTGATTTATGGTTGGCATTGAACCATGTAGGGGAAGGACTAGAAACTTGCTTTGATCTCCTAGAAGTTTGTTTCCTTTAATCTGCTCAAGCAGCTTGGAGATCTCATCCCAGCCTGTGAGAAAAACAAGAACAGCTCCCTCACGTTCATGACGACAAATATATTCAATTGCTGCCTCCACCTAGAATATAAGTTTCAAACATAATTATAATGCTATGAAAAACAAATAAAAGTCTATTTACAATTACCCAAGCTATAAATTGATTTATATGACCAGCAAAAAATATATAGCATTAACAAATGATATAGCAAAATAAGAACCAGTTCTGGTGTAAGTACAGCATGTAATATCTTCCGATATTGACAATAACCAGATGTGCACAGATATCCGACAAAAAAGCTTCCGGTTCGCAATAAATTTTGCATTAATATAGTAGTAAAGTTCTCAAAATACAAACCAGACCCAAGTCAAGCTGTGAACCCGACCAAGCTTCCAGAGAAAGTCTTGTTGATGCGCTGTAATTTTTATATTGAGAACCAATATCAACTTCCTACAAAGGCAAAGCAATATCTCAGTCGGAAATAACAAAGCCACAGAAAGGAATTCTTAAGCTGAACTAATTCCTCAACTATGAACACTTAAAATAACCAAGATGGTCTAGGAATATCCTCACTAGCACAAACCAGAAATAATAACAACTTAAACTTACAAATGGTCACAAAAGCAATGGCTGCAATTGGAGAATCATATCAAATACAAGTGTTGTAATCATTTCAATGCATGCATACACAGCCACACCTAATTCATAGAGATAAAATCAACTATTGACTCTCATTACACCAATCTGCCTTCCACAACAAGCATGCTTAGCAGAAAATTACTTAAATGCAGGCTCTCCAGAATACAACATTTTGTTTTTCGTTGTGTTTTTTCTGTCTGTTTAAGAGAGCGTTTGGAAACGTGGGCCAACCCGCATTTCCAAAAAAAATAATTTTTTTTTTTTTTGCTAAAAATTCAAATTTTTTTGTATATTTTAGATCGTTTTGATCGTTTCCAAAAAAAATAAATTTTTTTTTTTTTGCTAAAAATTCAATTTTTTTTGTATATTTTAGATCGTTTTGACACCCTAATCCCAAAAATATTTTTTTTAAAAAAAAAAAATCACTTTGATGCATTTCGAAATGAAAAGCAACCGCAACCACACTCCCAAATAGGCCAAGATTTGAAACTGATTCTAGTTGATGCCAATCTATGGGAAAACTATGTAGCTGTTGTCCTAGAAGACCTAATGATCAACTGTCCGCATTGACAATTTGTTTCCAATTGCAGTTTAAGGGATCAACCAACAAAAAATGAGGATGCATGTAGGGTGTGGATAGTGATGAGAATCACCAAGAATACAAAGCTAGAAACAGTGATATCACTTAAGCAACCATTTTGGGACAAGATGAACCACATGACTTGAAATCAAACTAATTAAATCCCTCTTTTTTATAAGAATTTTATTTTTAAAAAAAACCTGACAAAATGAACCTTCCTTTACAGAACTGCTATACTGACAGTATATGTACCACTTGTGAGCGTGTGAGAGAGAGAGGGAGAGGTACAAATAAAACAACATAAAGTTCAATGAGTTTAAACATGCCTCGAATAATTCAGTTATAGGATCCTTCTTTGAATATTGCTCTCTTCTTCTTTGTCTTGAATTCCCCTGAAAGCTGTCCAACTCTTGAATTTCATAGTGAGTTTTCTCCAACACATCTTCTAGATAGAACTCTGATACAGGGAAAGTTAATCCCTGCCAATATATCACGATAATTGAATGAATAATAGAAACATTCAAACATGATTGAACACCCTCAAAGAAAAGGGTTCCACTGCTATAGAGTGAAGATTACAATCACAACAATACCGGGATATGAATAGTCGGGGCATTTCTGAAGTATTTAGAGAACAAGTCAGCATTAATGGTAGCACTCATTAGAATAAGACGCATATTTGGACGCCGAGGAAGAAGGTCGCGCAAAATAATCAGCAGGAAGTCCTCATTCATTCCTCTTTCATGAATTTCATCCACTACCAAATGGCTCACACCAGTTAAATCCGGATCCTGAACCTGTAGTTAGTGGGTAAGTATAGATACGGAAGCTGAAGAATAAAATTCCTATTAACAAGTTTATTCAAGCTTGGCCATAACAAATGGGAAATGCACAGAATCATCAATTACCAGCTGCCGAAGTAATACACCAGTGGTGCAAAAAAGGAGCCGGGTTTGAGCAGATCGTAATGCTTCCAGACGAATTTGATAACCAACAGTTTCACCAAGGCTCTCTCCCCTTTCAGATGCTATTCGTGCAGCAACAGAAATGGCAGATATACGGCGGGGTTGTGTGCATACTATGTTGTAATGAGCACCACGTAGAGATGATATTCCCTCCTCCAATATATACTGAGGAAGCTGTGTTGTTTTACCACAACCTGTTTCCCCTGAAATTACCAATACCTGCCAATGCCATACATAAACAATGAAAATTATATAAGAATTTAGCACTAAAAGCAGCAAAGAATTTAGTCAGAAATAAGATATAATGATAATTATTTATGACACATTCATCAGGTCAAACTTTTCCTAAACTGGTTCTTCAAAAAGTAGAAAGGAGGGGGCAGAGGAATAAAAACGTGAGAGAGAAAGCAGATTAACTACAAAACAGAGGAAATTCAACTAACTCTGATTGGAGACTAAATAGTTAATCCACCAATTGGTGTCAGTGAAAAGAAACACTACACCATTCTGTTAGCTTCCATTAAGAGCAAAGCTTTTTTTAATCATAATTAAATATTATATTAAGCCCACAGGTGTAATAACCATATGCCAAACTTCAGGCACAACCAGCAGGTGTGTGGAAGGCACATCCCTTTGCCACAATCAATTAGGAATATTAACTTTCAACACAACAGCATATCATGCCAAAGCATGGCCCTACATCATCATTGCATTCTGATACATTACTAATATAGGCTGAAGGCTGAACTCAGAGCATATGGTGGCTATAATCAAGTTGCTTTTGATTACTCCACCAGATAATGGCCTTGGTTAAATTGAAAATAAATGAATGTTCTGAGACTCCTGAGGAAAACACATTGTTTTCCACATACATGTGATGCATCAGAGAAAGATTGCCAAAATGAAGTAAAAGAAAAATGCACCTGATTTTCTTCAACTGCTTTCAGAAATTCAGTTCTCATTTTGAATGCAGGAAGCTTTTCTCTGAAAGACTGCATTTCCTTCACGCTGCTACTAGCCTGAAAGTGTGAAACCAATAACATAAAAAACCTTTACATCTCAACATAGCCACTTGTAAACAACTTTGAATAATCAAGTGCATAATGCCTTTGGTTAGTTAAGTATATGATAAGTTAAAACATCCTCACACAAAAAGCATAATGTGTTCACCTTTAATTTATCCTGCTTCTGCTTTAGTTCAATACTCTGTTTCTCCTTAGCAGCATCTGTTTCCAACATGGAAGCAGGTTTCACCATTTTACCACCAAGAGATCCATGTTTGCCTCCCTGCGAAGAAGTTGCATCGGACTCATTTCCAGCCGCTGCTTTTTGTGAGCTATTCAAAAGATTTCCAACTCTCCTCTCAATATCTGTAGGCATTTGGATCTGCAGAAAGATTAAAAAATGAGAACTTATTACCTGAAAAGACATTTGAGTTTTATAAACTTCAATGCTTTTACCTCTTTCTGTGTGGATCCATGTTGCTCATCAAGATCAGCTCGATAATCTGGTAGTGGAACTTTGCTAACAACAAGGGTTTTGCCTTTATTGTATGCATGGCTTCCTTTCCACAAGTACAAAATGAAGATATTGTAAGTTCAGACACATGATAAAAAGCCAAGAATCTTTTTCGTCGGAGAAGATTTTTCAAGAACACAGAAACATGTAGGACATTCAACTATTTTTCCAATTTTCCAGAAAATTAAAAGTATCCTTTTGTAGTCTAACTGATCTCCAAATTTTCTTTTTTGACTTCAGAAAAAGCAGTATCTCAACTTCTCCACTTACCAGCTACCATATTATAATAAAAATATATATACTTAGCAAACATGTTCTCCGATATTTTTTTCAAACACAGAAAAAACTTTTCTAGTTTTAAACACTGACCATGTTTTCATGAAGAAATGAACTACAAAATGGAGATACAAAATGTTGAGAAAAAAAAAGCTCTTTTCCAGACATAAACACAACCTATGCACCTACAAACAAAAAGATATTCAACCAACAGTCGAATCCTAATAGTCCTCTAAAAACTTCGTGTGAATACAAATAACCAAATTTGAATATCTGACAATATTCCTTACCCAGTGTAATTATCCTAACCATTTCTTAAGCATTTCTATATGAAATTCCTAACACATCACTACCAAATCAAGCTATTTACCTTATATAGTTCACTTCTTGTAAATATATATCAATACAGTATACAAATTAGGAAGTTAAGCATACTTACAAGTGAAGCCCCAATTCGAAAGCCATATCAAACAGCTTTTGCTGATCATCGCGGCTAAAACTACGCTTCATTATTATTTCTTGCTCCCCTCTAAGCTTCATTTGCTCCATTTTACTCCACCATTCATCTTCATCAAGAACCTCCATCTTCACCACCACAGTGAAAAAGAATGCATTTAAAAAACATATAAATATAACTAGCAGAAAAAATCCAGTTAGCGAAAATTGAATCTTTAACAAGTCGAGAACCCTAAAAACCCTAAAAACAACTAGATAGTTATTAACAGTTAATGAATACAAATTGAATTTAATTTAGAAAACAATACCTCACTCTGTTTTTGTCTCAATCGTTCCGCTCTCCAAACAGGATCCCACCACCGCTGCTCACCACGTCCTCCTCCACGTCCTCCTCGTCCCCGTCCTCTATCACCACCACGACCGGGTACGCCTCCGCCTCCGCGACGGCCGCCTTGGAAATTAGGACGGCGTGACATGGCCTGAGTTGAGATGTCTCGATGAATGTACGAGAGAGTTGTTGAAGATAACGCAGGCGCAGCTAGTAAGAGATGTTTGGAAAAGAAAGAGGGAGCACCGAGTAAGCGACGAGCTGGTAACATTAATTAAATTATTTATTTATAATGGGAGTAACACATTGGAAAGCTGGCAAGCTGTTACTCTGCAACCCACCGGGGAAGTGAAACTGTGGGGCTTTGCTTTGACTATCGCAGTTTGCGCGTGCGAGAAACATTCTTCTTTTCCTTCTTTTTTTTTTCCATTTTTTTTTTAAAAATTATTTTTAATATTAATTCATTAAAATAATATATAAATATTAAAATTAAAATTAATTTAAAATAAAATCTTTTCCTTCTTTTTTTTTTCCATTTTTTTTTTAAAAATTATTTTTAATATTAATTCATTAAAATAATATATAAATATTAAAATTAAAATTAATTTAAAATAAAAAATCAAAATATAAATCCAAACTAGCTTCAACAAAGCTTTTGGAACAGCACTATGTACTATTATAATTTATAAAATAATAAATAGCTTATTATAATTTTTATATTTAAAATAAAATATTAAATTATATAATTTAATTTAATTATAATACTTATAATATTAATTAAAATTATAAATTAGTTTTTTACAATAAATATTTTTCATTACAAGTTTATATTTCCATTGAGAGGTAGATCTTTAGTTAGAGTTTACTATCAATTATTGAAATAAATATGCGCTCATAGTGGGGGAGGTCTTCATCCACTGAGGAAAATAAAAAAGCAAACAAAAGAAAGTTTCATGTACACAATAAATATAAAATTAAAGATTGCATTATAAGAAAAGAGCAATGGTAGATCAATTGTGAAGATATTCTTTTAGAAAAGGGCTATACAATAAATACTTGTTATACTAGTATTGGGCATAGTGATTCTAGAATTGATGCTTATGTGAAATCAAACTTGGAAGGAGGTGCCAAAACGGTGCATCTTTTGCCCCTTCCATGACTAGAACACGTCCCCAATAGACTGGACCAAGTAGAAACAATAGGGTATATAGCCACTGTATTCGTGTCCAAAGCCTTTTTATTGATGGAGAAGAGACAAAAAGAAAGTGGGGGAAAGAAAAGATGTAAGTTAAGGTTTTTATAATGAAAAAAAGGGGGTATTTTTGGAAAATAATTTTCAATTTCTATTAGAATTGAATTCATTACACAACCAAAAAATTTATTTTCATTTATGGAATATTTCATTGACATTTAAGCTATATTCTCATCGACATATAAATTATTAATGAAAACTTGGCATTAAACAATATTAAACAACTAAATTAAATTGAAGAACATATTTTATATTATCAATTTAACTATAAAACCAATTATAAATATCTTAATACACTAAAAAAAAAAAGTTAGAGGTGGAGGTAAAGGGAGGGGGAGGAAAATCTCCTAGAAGTCCATGAGTGATAGGATAATAAATCGACGTGTATGTCATTATTTGCTCTCATTGATTCCAACATCGTTCTTCATACTCTGCCTCTAGTTTGACACTCAATTCGATCTTCATAACATCAATTTGGTCTTAAACCAACTCCTGAATAGCTATTGATGGCTATCACAATTTGAATTACAAAGTGTCTATGGTTAAAACACTACAACTTGCTATTATATGTTGGGTTATAGTCATAAAGATATTGTAAACTTGATTTTTACCAGATCCACCGGTTGCTCCAACCTCTAACCACAACTTTGAATCATATTTTAAATGAGTTGAAAGGTCTTCTTCTTGTTTAAAACTCAATCACAAGTATTATTGATGATAATTTCTAAGCTAACTTTATTGAAACAAAGGCATTTTCATTGACGTTTTAATCATTGATGTTATCATGTGAGCAACTTCTATATTTGTGAACTTGAAAATTAATTAATTAATGAAAAACTATATAAACACTTAATAAATTAGTTAATGTTATCCTTGGGAAAAAGAAATAACATGTAATTCGGCTTATATTTTGTATAAGCTTGCTAGAAAAAGATTCCCTGGCATATGGGATGCCACATCTATAACTCGTATCAAACAAGCCTATGTTGGTAACAGGTGTAGCAAGTGTATTTTATGATTAGCACCTAAATATACTATAGGTTTAACAACAATACTACTTGTAGAAGCATAAGTGATACTTCTTAGCATTGAACTTTTTTATTGGTAACTAAACAATATAACTAAAATATAATAAACAAAAAAAATAAATAGTGAAGCATATTTAATTTAATTCTCAATCTATGATGTATGAGTTTTTATATTATTGCATCTATCTACTTTTAACAAAATTTCAGCAACACTTTCCTTATATGAGATCCAACCTAAAAAAATTTAGAAATTCTAAAAACCATATTCTCGAACCAAACCATCACCCATAAACATAAGTTTCACTATTTATATAGAACTAATTTCAAATATCATAAATAAAAAAATATAAATAAACATAATGACAATATAAAAACTGATTATTTATGATTTGAACATAGGAGCTGGCCTTGAAAGAGCTATTGATCCAATTAAAAAAAGCAGTGTATGACTCATATTTATAAGACTCTTTAATTTATCTACTATGAAAGTATATAAATATAATATACATATTTAATCGTTTCATATATATATATATATATATATATATATATATATATATAAAAGTAAGTGTATGTCAATAAATTATCAAAATCAACATAATTTAGAATTAAAAAAAGAGAAGTAGCCTAAAAAGGCCCAAACATCCCATAAATTCCCTTTTATTCTAATTTCAAATATTGAATTACAAGGTGTTTTGATTGTGCTTTCATTTGTTTTAGATATTGTATAAGATTTTCTTATAAAAAGTCATAAATAAAAATTCATAATGTGTTTTCTTAGTAGTATTATTGCGAATATTTTTAATTATTATAATTAACTCTCCATAATTTAATTATATGCATGCCAAACAAGTAAAAACCATCAAGATCAAACCTTAAATGGTGGAGAGAGAGAGAGTGAGAGCAACCACTGATTCTAGAGGAAGAACATCGATTGTTGGTACTTTCGATAAAGAGAGAAAGAGAGAGGAAATGATGAGATTTATGGAAAAATATGAATAATTAGGTATTCTTAATATATCAGGTTTTAATTCACCGATGAAATTTTTTGTCAAAAAAATCATCAGTGATTAAACATGTCATCAGATTAATGATGGACTCATCGATATAAATTTTAAATTCATTGGTGAATTTATTGATAATTTCAAGAATTTTTTGAATTTTTTTTAATACCTACCAAATTCACTAATGATTTTTCATCAATTAGTGATTATGTTAGTTAGTCTTAATTTTATAAATTTTTTCCAAAATTCTATGTAAATCTTTGACAATTTTAACATCAATCGGTGAGGAAGTAATTCACCGATGAACTTTCATGCACTGGTAATTTCATTGGTCAATTCTAATTTGATGAATTTCTCCCCAACTCTCTGTAGTTCTTTAATTATTTTAACATTTGTTGGTGAGTCCATCATCATTTACAATTATGATAATCATCAATATAATTACTGATAGTTATTTTATAATTTTTAATTATTTTTAAATATTGTCAGTGATTCCATAAAAAAAATTAAAAATATTTATTATAATGTCTTGTCTATCCTAGTTATATAACAATAGCAGCAGCAACAACAGCAACAACAACAATAATTATATTCAAACCAAAACTCATTAAAACCATAACTACAATAAATAAATGCTTGGTGAATGTAAAAAATATAATGTAATATAAAACAATAACAAATATTTTAATTATATAATGATGTTTTCCATTTAGAATCAATTCAAATCCTTTTAATCTAAATTTTCCTCATCTTTAATTTTATCATCTTCATGTCTATCATCATTTTTCTTCTTCGTTGAATTAAAGGTTGATGATTTCTCTAGCTTCATAAACTTTTATATGTCTAATAGTACTTAATATATTATTTAACTCGTCAACATCAATATAAATACAAGTATTCTCAACAACATAAAAATTTGAATTTTCTTTTAACTCCGTAGATAGAGTAACTTAATATAGATCAATTAACTCATCCAATTGAAATATATTATATCCCTCAATTACTTCATTGTTACCATCTTTAACAACTTGGACACAACTCTTAGATTTGTTTTTCATAACGGATAATCAATCAACTCTATTATGATCTTTCCTAAAAGAAAGAGTGTATGCATAATATATTTGCTGACATTATTGAGCGAATACAAAAAAATCATTGATGTTAACAAGTTTACCTATTTTATTCATTTTGATCAAACCATGGTCAAGATCTACTACAATTCCTTTATTGGTATCATGTCAATAATATTTAAATAAAAATATTGCATTTTGCACCATGTGATATTTCAATTCAATCACTTATTCTATATTGTCATAAATAATCAACTTCAAACCCGTAGAAAGTTGATCACTTAACATGAAACCTATTATTATATGTATTTATACCGATAAAGAAATACTAATTACTACACTAAATCTTTTTTTTTGGACCAAAGATAATAATTTTAAACTATCGACATTACATCTTATGTTATACACTTAGTTAAAGATAATCAATAGTCAATGAAAAAAGCTAAGTAAATGTAATCTTGTTAGAGTTACAAATTATTACATATTTACTTGTGTTTTAAACCATATGACAAATGGTTCATATTATAAATAGAAAATTTAAGCTTCAATAAGATATAAATTTTAGGATAACAAAAATTAATGATGTTGTCATAAAAAAGTTACTAAGAATTTAGTCTATATGAAAATACAAGAGAAAATGATTTAAGACTGTTGTCATCACTTATTTTTTATCCTCTATGTTCAACATATTTTCAAAAAAAATAAAAATAAATACAAAAATACGAAAATCTTTAAAAAAAAATACTATTTCAAAATAACAAAAATACAAAAATCTTTAAAAAAAAATACTATTTCAATATGATTTGGCTAATTTCTGGTCATTTAATAACCTTTAACCATTTCATGTATTGTTTTTGTATTTACAATTTTTTTGAAAAAAAAAAGGAAAAAATCAATCAAACAAGAAGAAAATTTTTTTATTGATTAAAATGTAATTGAAAAAAAAAATGAAGACTAGTTTAGTATAAGAGGTAATAATTGTAAAAGGAAAAAAGAGAGGGAACACCATGTTAAAAATGTGATTTTTTTAAAAATATTGGAAG